CTCACTAAAACTCAGAAGGACCACTAGAGGTTTTTGGTCTCCGGCCCACGTCCTACGACGAGGAGTTCGAGACGAGCAACAACCTGCTCACGGCGAAACACGTCGATGATATCAATATGGCCGGTACTGAGGACACCATTGGCAAGCGTGTGAAATGCGTGGAACACTTCGTAAGTGTCAACTCAACAAACACTCATGCACCAATTGCGCTGTGAGATTCACCAAGGATGAGGACGGTAGTGCCGCATTGGACCAAGATGGCTACATTGAGCAGCTCCGCCCTATACAACCTTCTGAACTTACCGGCGCCGACGCTGGCGTTCAGGCATCCAAGATGGTTGCAGACGTGTCAGGGGCGCGTTGGCGTTTGCATTAATCACCCAGGTACGGTTGATGGTGCATGTTGTATCTTTAGCACGTGTCCAAGAACCGACCAACATCCAAGTGCGACGACTGAACGCGATCACCAGGAAGTTGCAAGCCTGCCCAAGGAAGATCGTCTAGCAGGCGATGACCCCTGCGGGCGAGGTCGACCTGCACAGCGACTCAGGATACCGACGCCTGAGTGGAGACGCCGATGACGACGTCAAAGGCTATGGTACTCGCGGGGCAAACCTGCTACGACGCGGAAACACGTCATCTGGTAATTTTGTCGTTCACTTGACCGATGCGCGATGCAAGTCTCGCCGCTTGCAGGTCCGCTCGAGCTATTCAGCAGAGACACGAGCAGCAGCCCATAATTTGGAGGACTGTTATCACACGATGGTTTCTCTGCACGAGCTCCACGCAGGGCCGCTCACGCCCACTCAGTTGAAGGATCTCATTGAGTTGGGTGGCCTGAGCACCAAGGTCACTTTGACCATAGATGCTGAGTCTGCTTTTACAGTCCTTGTCAAGCAAAGACTTGAAGAAGCCGACCGGGTGTACCCTTTTAGGGCGCATCAGTTGGATACGACAGATGATGGAGCGTGGAATCGCGCACAGCATTCAGTGGTGCGACACCCGCGACGCGACCGCGGATGATCACACAAAGCGGAGCCTCGACAGAGAAATGTTCCTACAAGTCATGGGAGGTGCACAGGTCTGCAAACACGACCTGAAGAGTCATGCTCCAGGTCATGCCGACCAGACATCTAGTTCTGACGCCGCTTGAGGAGTACTTGAAGTACAGAACTGTACAAGCAGGGAAACTTGCGAGCGGGTCCACCTTCCTTCTGGCCCGCCCCTTCTTCTGTAATGTGCACATTAGCTGCTGTGCCTGTTGCGCAGGGTTGACGGGCTCACGCTTCGTCTCCCCCCCCCCCCCGATTCTAAAGCGAGCTGAGGGACGTAAGGAGCGGAGGCGAGCGTGCGCCCGCGGCCGCGTCGGCTCGAGCGGCCGGCCGCCCAACTATGACTGCGCCTCATCGCGAGGCACACGATCGCTATCGAGACCAAAAGGATTTGCCGATTGCTTAAGATGGCACATCCTCTCTTGCTGGGATTATCGTTACTACGGTACAACAGAGCAAGAGCTTTTCCTCGCCTAAGGCGAAGCTGTTGGCTGGGCCCCCCAGCCCCCTGCAAACTCACAGATCCGTCAATTTCTTTACTCTGGCCATCTACTCATATGTACCTGCGTGCTTGCAAACATCCACCCACCGCGAACCCAAGGGTAGGAGGAGGAATCTGCTCAAAACAGGCCCCCTGACATTTCATGGGCACCCCCTCTAACCCTTTTTTGAACCGTGCCTAGCCATGGCGACAAGGGTGCCCCCGAAGGCACTGGTGGAGGACTAGGAGGAAGAGGGGGAGGAAGAGGAGGAGGAAAGGAGGAGGAGGAGGACGAAGAGGAACCCGCGTCCACGCCATGATCCCACCATCTCGCATTCATCCATATGCGGTTTGTGTCGGCCTCCGCGATTCGGTTTTGCCCAGAATGCTGGCGGGCCAAGGAGGATGAAGAGAAGGAGGAGGAATGACCTTCACGCTAAGGACCGACATGAGAACGTGAAAAGCTACCATTCTGGATTCCGGGGTGTCATGCTGGAGGGCAAGGCGCTCTTTCCCTCCTGCAGCGGGCCGAACGCTGGCGCCAGGCAGACTGCTTCGCCGGGCGCGGACGCGCAGTCTGCCTCGCCGGGCGCGGACGCGCAGCAGCGTCCGCGCCCGGCCAAGTCGCCAAGCCGCGGCACCCAGGTGCAATCGGCTGCAACACCACCACCCGGGCTGGTGAGAGGGCCCGACGACGTTGCTGCGAGTTGGCGACAATACGCTCGGCGACCTGGGGCGCGCTGTGCGTCCGTGGTGGCGGCACGCAGCGGCAACCGTGAGCGGAAAGCGGTTGAAGGATGAAGACCCATACGCACGTCCTGGTGCGGGACCGTCGGTGCGCTGGCGCTGCCCGGGCGGCGATGCGAGCGGCCTGGCGGCGGCCTTGCTTCTGGGCCCGCGCGGCGATTGCGCCCCGAAGTGGCTGGATGAGGCCGTACCAAACTGTGTCTGGGTGTGGTTCGGCGCTACCGCCGCGCGGAACAGTCTAGACGCTGAAATAAGAACGGGCCTGGGTTCGGAAGGAGTTCGCTGTTCTTTGGGTCATTCCGTGATGATTCCTCTAGCCCTCCTCGTGCGCCCAGGCCCTTCTGGTGACGACAAAGAGGGGCTTCGCTCCTTATCTCGCCTTCCTTATTGTAGCAGCTTGATTGTATTGCGTACACAGTGCCGTCCATTCCCCGTTTGCAGCGACCCGACGTAGCGGGGCGGGGTAATGCCGCGCCAGAAGTTGCGAGAGCCGCTAAGCTGTGTCCCACTCTGGGCCACCGTTCGTTGGCTCTGCCAGCGCTGGTGGGCGCGCATCGCGTTAGCCAGGCTGCCGAGCTGCGAGTTGCCAAGCGTTTATGTTTCACCTTGTATAACGCGTGTTCATCGCGTTCGCAATCATCTTGCCAATCAGTTGCGCCATTCGCAGAAACTATCAAGTAGGAGGAGGAGGAGGAGGAGGAAGAGGAAGAGGAGGAGCAAGCGAGGGTTAGATGGATGACGAGGGAAAGAGGGAAAGGAGGGGAAAGGAGGGAGAAAAGGATGAGAGGGGAAGCTGGAGGAGCTGGGGGAGCTGGAGGATCTTGAGGAGCTGGAGGAGCTGGAGGAGTCGGAAGAGGTGCGGCGCCACTCGCAGCGGGGGGCCCAGCGCGGCCGACGACCAACGCCTTGAGCAGCCAGTGCAAACCGTCATGCGGCGGCGCTGTCGGCAGCGCAGGCAGAGCGTAAACTGGAACCCCCGCGCGCCAAACGAGATGGTCAGGGCCTGCAGCCGTACTGCGAGGGCTGGGGCCCCACCGAGAAGGGTACCTTGAGGTCGACCTTCGCGAACCGGCAGTAGCCCCAAGCGAGACTGCCGAGCAGGTCTGGCAAGCACCGCCAATTGTGGGCTGTGCGTGCGCGCGGGGCAGTGCGACCCGCAGGTAGCCGACCCCAGGTTCACGTGCCCGGCCACGGCGCCATACAGGCGGAGGATGGCCCCCGCGTGGATTCAAGAGTTGGTCCGCCAGCACACGGATCCCGAGGGCATACTCTCGCGGCGTCTTCCTAGAGGACCCTCATGGGTTCCGCCTGGGATTTCCGGAAGTCCTGCGCAGTCTGCGGATCATCGCGCTTCTTCTGCGTTTCGTGATCTAAGGGAGGAGTCCCCCCTCGACCTCGCCTCGTCGGCGCACCGTGTAGTATGTTGGAGCGCCTTCGGCGTGCGGTCTTTGTCCTAGACGGGGGTCGATTGGGGAATGTCGGAGGAGGTGGCGCCGCGCTGGCGTTTATTCGGGAAACTCGGGGTTGCCGCGCCGCACCCTCCGTGCCGCCGAGCTGACCTCTGCAGCGCGCCTTTACAGGGCAACGTCGCGCGTCATTCCCTGGAGCCGAAAATGTGATCTACGCCACCGAGGAAATCCAGATACGTAAGTTTAGAGTTGTGTGTTCATAGAGTGTGTCGCACCATGCTTGTCCGAACTTTGAAACATCATGCCTTTCATGCTGTCGTCCTCTACATTGCAACTCAGCGTTGCGTGAACCTCCTGCGTCCGTTTCTCCTCCCTTTTCTGTCCTTCTTCCCTCCTGCTTCGCCCTGGTCATGTTCACTTTTGCACTGCGCGTCTTTGGCGATGGCGCGGCGGAGCGCGGCTCTTCGACATGAAGCCCACTGTCTGCGAGCGCGCGACAGCTACGGCAACCACCCCTTGCACCGTACCACCCCTTGCCCCGTGTCAAGCATGCCACGCTGTGTGAGCGTGCGACGGATAGCGCCCCAACCCCCTCTGCACCCCATTGTGGCGACGTTCTGTCAGCGTGCGACGGATGGCGCCCCCATGTGGGTGTCGCGTACAGTCAACCCGCATAGTAAGGATGGGTGACCTTCCCAAGGGTACCCTTGCATCCTTGTCTCCTCGGTCCATCCTTCGCCGCTTTCGTTGGCCGCGCCCCGCTCGAACAATTCCGAAATGGGCGTCCAAGGCTCTTGAATCAGTATCGCGCGTCCTTATGATACGGGCTGGCTGTATATGCTTCATGGGTTTGGTGTGTCTGATGCAATGAGCACACAAGGTGTATACGAGCGTTGTATCATTGTGTTTGTGCGCGCGGCTGTAAGTGCATGTTTGACTATGCATGAGTACATGTGTATATTTATGTACAGATCTATGTGGTGTGTAACGTGCATGCGTGCGTATGTTGGATGTGTGTTTGAGCGAGAAGGAGGAGGGGTGCGGAGAAGGAGCAAACACGCGGGAGCGACGCGGGTGGGGAGAACAGCATAGCCCCATCAGGCATGTGGGGAAATTCGCAAGTAGAATTCTCGATCTCACTAGGAGCATGAGATGGTACTACATATTGATCCGTGCGGGCCCCGAGGCCATCAATAGGGCAAACCGTTGGTTGCGAGTTCACTATCTCAGGGCTCCTCTTGTTCCTTGTTCCCTCCGCACGCTCTTCTTTCACCGTCTCTCCCTCACCATATGATTCGCATCGGGGGAGAGGACGCTGGCCTGGTGATCTGCAGCTTGATGGCGGTGCATCTCCATCGGAGGCGCGCGGTGGGCTTCCGCCCCTTCCTCTTTCTCCGCCTCGTGCCCCTCATCCGCCCCCTCCAGGGACGACCAGAGTCAGCCCAGGATGCATCACCGATGTGCCATACAGCCTCCCGTCGTCAGCCCCCTCCTCACAAGTTTCCTGCGCCTGCCATTCAGGCGAGCGCCCCATTGTGGCCAGGAGTGTTCCTGCACCCCTCTAGCTATATGGCATGCGCGGAGGTCGGATCAGAAAGTTGAAGGACTGGGACAAGGAGTTGTCTTGCATCAGCGTAACAGTTCTGCAATTCCACGTTTCTGATCATATGGCTCAGTATGTCTGAAGCCAGATCCACATCATGAGAAGGAACCACCCTCCGTTGGGGTAGCCTCGGCGCTGACGCAATAGCCACATTTTGAAAGCTACCAGCCTTTCACCCCTGTAACCATTGGTACTTTCTGGGACGAATGTCCACGGCGCTGCAGCGAGAGCGAGAGTTTTAAGGTACGCACCCTCCATCCTGGAGCTGTTAGTTTTTTGAACGGATGTGCGCGGTGCGATGGCGAGAGCCACAGTTTGAAAACGATACCCCCTCCATACTCCTGCTTCTGGCAATTTCAATCTTCAAAACGAGCAATGGGGAAGTCTGGGGAGAAGCACCTGGCCCGCCCTGCCGACACGTCTGATCGGGCGACCAGGAGCAGTCAATTGCAAGGAAGAGGGGTGCAGGGAGGAGGGGGCGGAGGAGGAGGAGGAGAAGGAGGGAAGGTTGGCGGAAGATGAGGGGAGCGCGCTGCCCCCCGCCGCTGGAGGCTTCAAGCTGGAGCGATGGCCGTGCCCGTTTGTCCTCCGAGGACAAGCTTGGGGAGGGGGGCGGTCGGCGAGGGGCCTTCCCAACCTGCACGTCCGCTTTCGCGGTGCGGCCTGGCCCCAGGCGCCAGAGCAAGGGCCGGCGAGCAGCGGGGTCGGCCGAGGAGAGGTGAATAAGAGAACATGTTCCTCCCCCTCCCCCTTCCTCCTCATCCCAGTTTCCTTCCTTCTGCTTTCCCTCGTCCCTTCTTCTCCCCTTCCTCTTTACTTCTGCATGTTTTCCTCCTCCTCCTCCTCCTCCTCCATTGTCATGTCCGTTGCCATTTTGGTTCAAGTTGGGGACAGGCCTCAGTTGATCGTGGCAGCTCTGTTCAGAGAGCCAGCCTGAAGTCATCTGCAGGTGGACACTCGATTCTGGCGGTGAGCCCGAGCGACCGTCAGCCTCTGCTCGCTCTCGTTCGCGTCTGTGCCGATGGGTGTGCCCAATGATGCGGCCATCAGGAGGCCGCTGCTGTCGCAGCTGTCAGCAAGGGAGCCGCTGGCGCAGGCAAGGGATCCGCGCCCGCGCGCGGGCCCGCTACTGTTCCTCCTCCTGGCAAGCGAAGCGTCGTGCTCTACCTGCGGCTGGTGATGCAGCCGATGAGGACATGCCGCCGAACTTCGACGAGGTCCCTGAAGAATGCTGGCGCCAGCTCTGTCGTGCCGAGTTGCACCCGCTGCTCGATGAGTGGAAATCCAAGGTGGTCAAGGAGACTTGTGGCACCGTCTCGTCCTTTGTCGCGGAGGCCAATACTAAGGTGCTCGCCTCGTGGACGCTCTGCGCGCCTCCATCGACGGCCAGGGCGCCGCCACTCACTATCAGATCATATGCACGGTGCGCCCGCAGGTGGATACAGGCACGCGCCAGCTCCAAAAGCAGATCGGCACGTCCAACACCCGCATCTTACTCGCCACGACGCCGAGCTCCCGGCGACGCAGCAACGCTTGGACGACATGGCCAAGAATGTGGTGTTTGCCGGACAGCGCCCTCGGCGCCCCGCGGCGACGCATAACGGCTTCGAGCGCGACGTCGACGCGGCCATCGTGGCCGCAACGGCGCAGAAGCCGACATCTCCCGACGCTGTCAAGACCACTCTCATCCCGTGGTTCGGCTCGTTGGACTTCGTTCTAGACACCGGCTACGAAATCGCCGTCGGCGGTAGCGCGCCCTTTCGGCGTTTCGTCATCTCTATCAAGGGCCTCGTGGGTGCTGCAGCCTCAAGGTCGATCGCGTCTTGTCCAATCTCAGGGAGGGCTCCTCGTGGAAGGAGTTCTCTGCGTCGGTGGCCAGGGCCCCCGACTGCCGTATCTTCCTAGGCCCAGACAAGACTCCAAAGCAAATTCCCGCTGAAGTTCTTCTTCGTCGCTGCCGCGCCGCGCTGGCTGTCGAGTACCCGCACGCCTGCTTGTTCATGTACAGGAGCCTGGGGGTCCTCATGGTGGGGTGGGACATGACCTTGCGCATCGAGATGAGGCCTGGTCAGGCGCCCCCGAAGTTATTCTGGAAGCCGTCTCGCCTCGGTGTCGCGAAGACATGGACAGGGATGCGCCGGCCAGGGCGATGCGCCACCTCACGAGCCCAGAGGCGGATGAGCAGTGGTGCCTTTGGCGTCTGGTCGCTCTTTCAGCGTCTTCGCCCTTGCGCGGGCGCCGCCGGCCGCGCCTTTCTCTTCGCGGCGTAGAATTGCCGCGCCCTGCTGCGGGCTGCCGACGAAAAGGCTAGCCTCAAGAGGGGCTAGCCGAGAGCACGGCCAAAGTTTGGCGAGTCCATGGCATCGCTGCAGGAAGTCCGTCAGGATGCTATCCACTTAGAGGCGTTCGCTCACACCATCAACCCTGCCATTCAGGTCATCACGAGTTTCGGGTCGCAGGTGGCGTTACAACTTCTGCTTCCGCCCTTGCCTGATCTTTCCTGCCCCCTGTCGTCGCGGGCCCAGAGGTGCTGGCGGGCGGGCGCGTGCTGAAGGCTTCTGCATTCTGAGCAGGCGACCCTCGTCGCTGGCAACGTGCCCAGCCACGAGCTGCCCGCGAACGCGGTAATTGAGGTCACCAGAGACATCCTGCGCTCGCCGAGGGCGGCGGTGAAGCGTTCGGCTCGCCGCCATCGTGGGCGCGCGCCGACGCGACGTCGCGCGCGGTCTCGCGCGGTCGCGCATGCCCGAGCGGGAGGGGGGCGAGGGGCAACAGCGTCTCGATCTTAGATCGCATCTTCTGCCCGATGCCCGGCTGGCAGGCCTGCCTGCACTTCGTGCCCGCCGCGACCGCGGGCCCCTCGCCCCCCGGATTGCTCGCCCACCTGAGCAGCAAGTCGGGCCTGGTGGCGCGTGCCAGGGCCGCTCTTGTTTCTCGGCTCCAATGGTTGATCGACGAGACCCAGTGGACCACGATGTCGCCACCGTCCCAGTGATCCTATTAGGAGGAAGGCGAAGCTTTTCGGATAATGGGCGATCTAGAGACGCAGATGCTTCGGACATCAGGGACACGATCAGCATTGCCAGTGCCTACTGTGCTGGCAATGGTCCGCAGGCGGCCTTTCCCGGCTTCGTCGGCGCCCACTGTGCCGCTGGGCTAAGGCTCGGGGGGTCGCGCCCCCGCGGGGCCGAGTGCCTGCCGTCCGTTGGCAGGGCGCCGCACAGGGCGCATTGCGTCGCAGGGCGTCTCACATGGCGCCCTGCTTCGCACTTTCCTGCCGTCTCGTCGCAGGCGTCGCGGACGCCTTCCAGAGGAACGAGATTATGCCTCTCTTGTTCGTTGCCCTCGAAGCCATGCGCCGCAAGGCCAAGAAGGCGTCGGCGCGGAACAGCCTGGAGCACATCATGCTGTGCTCCGAGTTCAGCTTGGACTGGTCTCTGGGCCTCTCGCGCCTCGCCGCCGCTCCCTTCGTGATGGCTCCGCCCGGCCCCGCCGTCACGGCAGTCGTGACTTCCGGCTCCCCCGAGGGCGCGCCGGGCGCGGTGGGTGGGCCCGCTTACAAGCGCCTGCGTGCAGACCCAGCCCAGGGCGGCGGTGGGGCGCCGGGGGGCAAGGGCAGCTGGGCGCCGCAGCAGGGGCCCCCGCAGCAACACCAGAACCAGCCGAACTCCTTCGGCCAGAACACCGGCAAGGGCGGCAAACCCCAGGCGCCGGGCACCGGCAAAGGCGGGAACAACAACCACAAGAAGGCCAACGTGACGGCGATGTTGTCGGAGCTCGGGAACATGGCGGGCAGGCAGCAGCCGGCCGCCGTGCAGGTTTTCGTCGACGCCAAGCACCAGGGCTCGCCGGACGACAAGGAGGCGATCAGGTCCATCATGGGCACCTATTGCCGCCACTGTTTGCTCGGGAGCCGGAAGCACGTCCAGCACAGCCGGGCCCAGCGCAGGCAAGAGGGCGGCGCGCCGGCCACTCCGTGCAGCCGCTGCGCACAGAAGGGGGTCGTGGCATTCCACTGGCAGGAGGAATGCGGAAGCTAATGCGCCTGCCGCGCGCGAGCGCGCAGCCCTCCAGCAAACCGAGCGGCATGCCTCGCCCCTTCTCTGACTATCTCCCCTGTCCCATCTCCCGCTCGCTTGGCTGGCCGGGTAGCCTGGTGAGCCCACAGCCGTGCCGGTGACAGCTGCAGAGAGGCCTCTCGCGTGGCATCTTGTATGTTATAATCCGCGAGCCGGCTTCCCTGCCCCATGCGGGTGAACATGCCCCGTGCTCTTCGTGCACGTTCGTTCAGATGCAGCCTGCGCGCTTGGGCCCGTTGCAGACGAACCACTTCGGCCCTGGCAGGCGGACCGCGAGGAAAAACAGCGTCGCTTGAGGGCCAAGGCCCCGTTCTTGCCAGTCACGCGCTTGCCTATAACACCCGCAGGCCTACGGCAAACCCCGCCAGCATGCCAGCGTTGTGGCATTGTTTGTTTGTTCGTCGGAACCCTGCCTGACACGCGGCAGAGATGGTCGCGCGCCCGCGCGCGCCGAGTGCGCCGCCGCAGATTTCCGATGCAAGGAAAAGAGAAGCCTTTGCCGTGGGACTCCCGTGGGCCACCCTCTTGGCCAAATTTTACGGCGACTCTCTCCCTCCCTCTCCCTCTCTCTCTCTCTCTCTCTCTCTCTCTCTCTCTCTCTCTCTCTCTCTCTCTCGCTGTCTGCACATATCACGCATACGCATGCACGCGTATATGTATAAGAGAGGGGGAGATAGCGAGAGAGGGGGGAGCGAGAGAGATACCGGGAGCGGGGTGGTCTACGAGACACGGGCGGACAATCGGCCTTGTGGACAGGCTTGCGCAGGTGCCCATCCCACGCGGCCCCGGCGGGGCTGTGGTGCCAGGAAGGAGGAGGCGGGCCCACCGGGGCTCCATTGAAAAACTATCATTAATTTTACGGTTCTCCAGAAAACGCCTTGGACATGGCCGGCGGCCCGCTCGTGATCCGGGCCGGGATCCCAGGTAGCCTGCAGTTGTGGTGGAATCCGACAGGTAATCAGGCCCGTGTGGGTCCGCTCCTCGAGGCTTCCGGCGGTCGACTCCTGGCTAGGTCTCCAGAAAACGTTCTGGGCGAAGTCGCTGGCGGGTCCGCTCCAGGGGACACTCCCCGTCGGCACTGATGCCCCCGGAAAGCGTTCGCGAGGCACAGCGAGAGCGCGGCTTCCCCTAGGGGCGCAGGCGACGCAGCGCCGTCTTCCAGCCCAGGGCCCTCTTCCCACCTCCGCCCTTCTCTCCCGCCCTTGGCCTCCTTCCCTTCCCCCGCCCCCCTCGCCCCTGCAGCCGTCTCGGCTCAAGACCTTGACATGCACCTGTTGAGCGCGCCACTGTCTGGCCAGCCAAACTCTCCGGCGCCATGGGGTGTTGAGTTGCTCTCAGCACCGTTGCCTGATCGTCGGCAGGCCGTCCGGCCTCGACCCAGGGCCTTGGATGCGCCTGCCTTGCTGGCCCGCCCCGCGACCAGAGGGCCGCGGGCACTTGTCGGCGCCCCTGCCGCGGGCGACGCGGCCCTCCAGTTCGCGCCGGTTCGGGGCGACGCTCTGCGAACATCCACG